GGCAACACCTGTACCACTTGAATATATTAGTGCTTCTTGTTGTATATCTACTTATACATTCTTTATTGGTCAAGAATTCTGTCAAATTTCGTAGTATTCCTTATATATCTCTAATTTTAGAATTGTTTATAAGGTTGTACCGCATGATATTTAATCCATCGTCACTCACAAATATGGCGCCCCAGTGACACAACGGCATGTCTGCGATAGCCCATTGTGTAGCTTTGTGCTTAACTTCAAACAAACAAAACAAATATGATATATATATATATATATATATTTAATTTAGTTTGTTTGTTTGTTTGTTTTTTTACATCCAACACTTCAGTAACTTAAATAGGGTTTTCATTTTGCACACAGAAAGCAACAATATTCTTGAATTGTATTTTCCTTGGTGAAATTACACTTAGTCCGGTGAAGAAAAGTATAACCCTAATAACTGATTCTTTCATATGGTTTTGTTTACTTACTGCTCGACAATTTTATTATAAAAAAAAAAACTCGGTCGAGTAGAAAGTAAAGAATTTTATATTGTCTGTTCAAGTTTCAACTTAGTGTATTAGATTCTTGTTAAATTGTTTTCATGTCCAAGTAGAACCTGACCCTCAAACATACTGTGAAAGTGCTTAGTAATCCAGCTTATCTCTCTTTGGTTAACTTGTGTTCAGGGTTACTAATGAGGAGTGGAATTCTCCGAAACTAGTATAACCCAATAACACATGTTGATCAAGGTGTAGATTGAACTGGATCTCCTTTGAACTTAGACATCGAAATTAAACAATTTTCGGAATACTAAGTTTATTTGTTAAAAACCTGACTCTCTAAAGAGAAAATTTTAACACTGACATTGAGACTTAACGGGATTTTGCCTGTTTATTAATAAGTGATTTTTTGTTGTTTTGGGATTACACTAAATGTAATTTCAGTTATGTTATTTAGGTGAATAATATGGTTATTTTTAACATGTAAACTTAGAACATGGACGTATTAGTAAAATATAGACACAACTAGTAGAACACATTGATACTCCATATATAAATGAACACTACATCTTGTTTAAAACTGATATTTCAATGAAGACTTAAACCTATGCATAACTCGTTTTATGTTGTTTAGGGTTAAAAAATCCGTTTTATCGTGGATACCATGTAATCTGACTACGCCTTCTACCTGATTTAAATTGTACATGACTATTTTTGAACGTATTGACGTGATAATTGACCATTATTTAAATCTGAAAAATGTATGAGATATAGACAAGTATGTTACTGAAGGGTTTTATTTTAATATCGAAACAATACATTATATGAATCATTTTGGTTGAATTGAACAGCATATTAATATGTTATTGCCCTTGTATGTCTAACGTTAAGGCTCACATAGTCGTATCTCTTCGATAAAATAGATATCACAAATGATAAAATATAATAAGCAAGATTCCTTAAAATTGTATAAATAAACTTAGAAAGTTATTCAGTATTAAAACTTAATTTACTAATATCGGAAATCTACCTAAAAGTCTATCACAAATTTCTTATAATATTAAAAGCAAGATAAAATGCAACGAAAACAAACACAAATTATATTTTCAACTTCGTCAAGATTGTAATCAACAAATCGAAGCACAAATTATAGCGATGTAAGCCTAAAATATCATCACCGAGCCATATATAAATAAATATATATATAATATGATTATTTAAATGTCTAGAGCACTGAATTAAACATTTTGCTGATGGTTCCGTTTGTAAAAGAAAAATAAAAGTTTTCATCAATATGTTTTTATTTGAAGAGCGCTCCTATCTTTTTAACTTAAACATTGCCTTTCTCAATCAAGTTTACAAACTCGAGAATTATGTAGGTGGAGACTGTTCTATCACTGTCAGTATTTCTTTCATCAAGTTCTTAAACATTCTTTGTAGTAACACGAAAATCATTAACAATAAGTAATCTATGCTCAAGAAAGGCTATTTCTTTCCTTTTTCTAATGTCAGCTAGTTACAGAAATATCGTCAAATGTCAGTTGAACCTAAACATTATCTAGGCGACTTTGCCGATGATAAGTTTTATAGCCTCAATATTCTTCATTATCATTTACTTGAGATAACAGTAATATCACATTGTCAAACATTTACTTGCGAGCTCATTACTATAAAAAAATACCAGTGAACTTCAAATTGTTAGCATTGTACACTTCCTTTCTACATTGTTACAACTTTCTTTGACTGAAATATGCCACAAAGTGATGGTTGCATAATTCAATTGTTGTAATATCACGAACTATTGTGGCTGTATTTCTCAGTAGTTTATGTTTCAGCACTAAAGTATTGTTATATTCAAGATATTGTTTGTGTACTTCAAGAAGTTAACATCACGACTATGTTTACTTGTTAACGTCACGAGTATTTTATATCATATTTTTGATGACACAAATGTTTCACGTTTTATTTATGAGGTCACGAAACTTAACATTTATTCAATTCAGATGTCAAGTATTTCGCACCTTACTTCTTTAAAGAACAATTGTTTTACATGTTAGTTGATGGCGTACGGAGACTTAAAATTTTACAATCGATTTATATCATACACTCTGATAAAAAAAAAAGTGTTATTGGGGTGCGATTCCAACTAACATGCCCCTTATTTTTGACGGGATGGGAATTCACATTCTTAAAGGTGTAAATTTAGAACTAATATAAGCTCACACACGTGCTATGTGTGAAAATATTTCAATTCATAAACCTTAACAGCTAAAATACCAAAATATTTGACGATAATAAAAACACTCTAAAAGAGTAATTCCACACTTTTATGAGTGTGAAGCATTGTTACAGGAACTACATAAAAAAATAAATTTACATTCTTTGTCAGAAAAGAGATTTTATACCCAAAAAGGAATTATGTAATATTTTTAAGTCAAGCTTCATACAAGTAAGCTTAATGGTAAGTTTATACATTTTGAAGAGTTATTGTATTCTAAGAAATTTCTGTTCTCAAAATTCTGTAGTAATCATAACATTGTCTTAATCCAAGAGATTTTGTTAACAGGTTTTTCTTTTAAAATATATTTTCCAATACTACTTACGGCATGGCTAGGTGGTTAGGGCGCTCAACTCGCATTCTAAGGGTCGCGGGTTCGATTCCATGTCTCACCAAACATGCTTGCGTCATAATTTGACGGTCAATCCCACTATTAGTTGGTAAAAAGTAGCCCAAGAGTTGGCGGTAGGTGGTGATGACTAGCTGCCTTCCCTCTTGTCTTACACTGCTAAATTAGGGACGACTAACGCAGATAGTCCTCGTGTAGCTTTGCGCGAAATTCAAACCACTTACGTGACTTTCCATTCTGTTTATAAATTCACACACATTTAAACACGCATAGCAGAAATGTGAACATTTATGTGATCTAAATTTACGGGTGCACATTTTCACCTTGTCAAAAAAATGGGTGTATATGTTTGTTGGAATCAAACCTTTATTTCTTAGAGTGAACGAGCACTTCATAACGTTTTGACACTTTATCTGTTAATGTCACAGATGTCACCTCCTCTACTTTACTTATTAAAATCGCAATTGCTTCGTGTCTTACATGTTGAAATCAATAATACTTCACATCATACTTGTTAGGGTCACAAGTGTTTCATACCTTGCTTGCTAGGGTCACAAGTATTCCACACATTGTTTCATACATTGCTTGTTAGGGTCACAAGTGTTTCATACATTGCTTGCTAGGGTCACGAGTATTCCATACATTGTTTCATACATTGCTTGCTAGGGTCACAAGTATTCCATACATTGTTTCATATATTGCTTGTTAGGGTCACAAGTATTTCATACATTGTTTTATACATTGCTTGTTAGGGTCACAAGTGTTTCATACATTGTTTCATACATTGCTTGCTAGGGTCACAAGTGTTTCATACATTGCTTGCTAGGGTCACGAGTATTCCATACATTGTTTCATACATTGCTTGTTAGGGTTACAAATATTTCATACCTTTCTTGTTTAAATCACAAGTTCAATGCATTACTCGTTAAGGTCAGAAATGCTCCATACTTTGCTTGCTAAGGTTATGAGAATTTTACATTTTACCTGTCAAGAGCACAAGCATTCTCTATATTACTTCTTAGTTTCACAAATTCTTTATAGTTTGCTTGTTAAGGTTATGAGTATTTCACATTTTGTTTATTAAGAACAGAAGAGCGTCACATATTTTTCATCAAAAATCAAAATCTGTTTGTTCTTCATTTCTCGCTCATTAATGTCATTAGTATTTCACGTTTTAGTTTTTAATGTTCCACTTTTTCCATTTTACATGCTAATAATCAAGTACTTTTCCTCAGGAAAGTTCCATGTTTAAGATGTTGTAGCATTTTAACATCAACACTATCATAGCGATGCCATGACGTTGCTCATGCACAAATTTCATTGTCAATTATCTTGATGTTACTCATTCCAGGTGTAACAGTTTGGAAATTTAATCTATACTACTGTATTATTAATAATGTGTGTAACAAAGATTCGTTTATCAATGCCCACAAAATTTTCAGAGTTAATTTACAGTGTTGAAAAGTTCTTTTACATACTTTTAATTACATTTAGGTGTGTTGCAATATGCAGTTAATATACTTCATAATAGCAGAACATTTTTCTACGAAATCCTTGAATCATTCATTAGTTATTGATTTTGATTGTGTGTCTAGAATACGTAAAACTTTCTACAGAATTATGTATTTTCCGTTTGTACAAGCTATTTCCTAAGCATAAATAATACATTGCAACAATCATAGATAATGAGTTAAAATAGCGATAAACATCGTGAAATAATTAACTTTTTTCAAACTTGAATTATACACATTTTATAACATATTTTCTGGACTTTTGAAATGATCATCTGATAATTCAGAGAAGCATTTCAAAGGCCAAATAATGTATAGAATTTGAAACAAGAAATTTGTAAGTTGTAGCTCTTCTTATATGTCTTCATGGATACACTACTTTAATAATAAAACAGAATTTCCGAGAACTCCATCACTTCCGACATCTGATTTTGGAGCCCTCTTTTGAAAGCGGAAAATTGAAAGGTAGCGCCCTCTGCTGTTTCTTCGTGCTTTCTGCTGCGATTATTGGGTGCAACAATATCTTGAGCTACAGCTGATCGTGTCTGGAGGTCAATTTCGTATTCCACGCCTTTACGAGCGAAGAGTGGTTTTCGAAACTTAATTTTTACATCTTTATCCTTAGCAAGCACAAAGTTTACTTTAAGTTCTTCACGAGCCAGACGTTCATCCGGGAACTTGCATGTGCACCGAAGTAACCCATCGTAACTCGGTTTTTTAGCGGAATAATACCCAACATCCAACCTAATGGAAATGCCAAGCCCCACGACAAAGACATCCATGTTGGTGACAGTAAAACGAACTCCAAAAACTCGTAACGGTCGAATTGGAGTGTGAAATGACACGGGTTTGAAGCGGGTACACACGTAAAATTCTGGCGGAGAAGTACGCCTGGAAGTAGCTGAACAGATTCCTCGTGGTACAGACGTAATACCAGGCACAGCTAGGTTCATGAATATATGAAAACACTCCTCTTTAGAAAGAAGTCCAGCTTTTGCTGGTCCTTTGGTGAAATCCTCTGCTGTCATGGCAAGAAAGCGAATGTACGGTAGCGTCGTATCCATTACAGTCCTTAAGTTATCGATAGTAGGTTCGATATTACGCCGCTTAGCCTCCTCTTGGGCCCATTGAAACAGGGCATTGTACAAAGTAATCTCTGTGTGAATATTAAGATGTTTTCGCTGCACAATGGTCTCGAGAATAGTAAGGCTGATTTGTGGGAAATTTGACGATGTCAACACGTGATATGATTGTCTATCGATAATGTTGAGGCACTGAAAAACTAGATGGTGTGCTTCAAGATTTAGTGCAAATTCCAAGACCTGGCATACTGTTGTGTGTGAAACGTTTTTCTCAATGTAGTTAAAACATTCTCGCAGTAGATGAGGCAGCAAATACTTCTTGGCAGCTGTTGCTGTTAGCATAGCATCTTCAACTGTTTCAAGATTTAGAGCATCTGTGTAAGCGTATCTAAAAAAAAAATATTCAAAAGATGTTTTCAGTATTCCTAAACCTGCACCTTTCCCCGCGTATACAGCAAATACTTGCTTTGTGTTATTTATAGGTTTATGGAAATACAAAAAATAAACACACCATTATAATAAGTTTGGTCACATAAATATACTTAATACTCTTTCTAAGGTTAATACATTTCATACTATTTATCTCACCATCTGTGGTTTTTTATAATAATAATGAGTTATCTCTGTGACTGGTGTTGATGTTAGAAAATAAATATTCTAGACAGCTGCTGATTTACAAAAGGATTTAGATCATTTAGTGAGTTGGCCAAATAAATGACAAATGGGTTTTAATTATAATAAATACAAGATGATGCATGTGGGTTATCATAATTTGAATTATAAGTCTAATTTGGATGGGAATAACCTTAATAGTGTTATGGAAGAAAGGGATCTTGGTGCAATAATCGATCAGTCTCTAAAGCCATCCAAGCAGTGTGCTGTTGTTAGTGGTAGGGCAAATAAGCTTTTAGGTTGTATCTACAGAAATATTGAATACAAGTCTAAAAAGGTTATAACTTCATTGTATAGGTCACTGGTTAGGCCACATTTGGAGTATTGTGTTCAGTTTGGGGCTCATTATCATAGGAAGAACATTAAATTGTAAGAAAGGATTCAGAGAAGGGTTATTAGAATGGTGCCTGGGATGGAGGGGTTGTCATACGACAAGAGGCTGAAATCTCTCAAATTGTTTTCTCTTCAAAAAAGAAGAGTTAGGGGAAATCTGATTGGGGTGTGTTGATTGATAGTGTTGATACACCATTTTTTTACATATTTAACAGTGAGAATAATAGGACTAGGGGATGTTGTAGAAGCAGTAAACTTAAGTGAGCTTAAGAAAAGGTTTGGAGTATATGAAATGATAAGGGCTGCCTTTAAGAGTTTTTAAATTATTTCAATTTAGTTTAAAGGATGAAGCAGCCAATAGGTCTCATGTTATCTCAAAACGTTATGTTATGTTATACCTAAGAACCCCTGAAAATTTATTGGTAGGTCAGAGGATGGGAAATTGAAAATTTTTCGTTACGCATACCCAAGTAAGTATATATATATATACATACTGTAGCTGCTTTATAGTACAGATAAAGGTTCCCTTTGGTGAAGAATGCTCTTCTCTTTATTGTTATAGTCATACAAAACTCAGAAATCACGTAAAGGAAAGAAACCACACGCGAAATGGTCTGCAGAGTAAGTTACTTAACTTGTTTCATTTTATTACGATCATCTAAATGACGTACTGTGTAGAGCATTAAATTATACAAAACTTTTCGCGACTTGAGACTCTAAAAAAATCACTTTCTTTGACTTGTATGGTTGAAAAATAAAGTTCATATCTATAACTTGTAAAAAAAAATACAAACCTTCACGAAGGTAAAGATTTAATCACTTAAAACCATATCATTAATTTTTAATCTGAGTTTCTAAAAGATTCTGTGAGCAATATCGGGTTTTATACATTTCATTTTCCAGAAAAGCTCAATTCATCAAAGTTGACAATAGGTAAGATCAGGTGGAATTTAGAAAATTGTTTCGTAGTTACAATCAAAATATGTAATATCACTGCATAATCTCCTCCAACCTTTTCTTTTTCACAAAATGGCAAGCTAAAACATTATGCAAGCAATTTTACGTCAGTCAAATAATACAATTTTGATCTGTTGAACTATCTAGCTGTTACCTCATGCAAACAATATAAAACCGCCCATATTTTGGTTTTCACAATTTGACAAAGAAATAGCAGAATACAAACGTTCGGTAGGTAAATGTCAGTAAGATACATAGATAGTTTTATCTGAATTTCTTCTTTATCAGACTAGTATACTTTTCTCGTATCTTTCTTCACAGTTACATATTATTATTCTCTTGTTGTTGTTTATCATAACATTTTTAAAATTCTACACTATTATTGTTTATCA